CAATTTTTTTTATCGCATTCTATTGCATAATTGAAAAAATCGCTTTTCTGCAAACTGCCAAAGCGGTAACATCAGTGCTTAATGTGTGTGTGTTTGCGTGTGTGTCTATATACATATGCATACACACCTAAAATGTAATACCAAAACAAAAGACTTACGCATTTAGATTTTCAAGTCTTTGATTTTTGTACAAATATGATTTTGTGTGAGAAAAAGTGTTGAATGATTTTTTTCCGTGGTAAGAACCCATACCACTTTTACCAACTCCACCAAATGGAAGATTAGGTACTAATTGAATAAAAAATGCAAAAATAATAATACAAATGTCATTTTATAATTTTAACCCAATTATAATAATTATATATAAAAATATAAAATAATAATATATATTTTTTTGAGATAAACGTGAGCACAATGCACAGAGGTCTATTTAATAATAAACTCAAATTTTTGATTATCAAATTTTATTATTTTGGTTATTCATAATGAAAGTACGCACACCGGTCATGTGAGATGCACCTGTCATGTGAGATGCACCGGTCATGTGAGATGCACCGGTCATGTGAGAAGCACCGGTCATGTGAGATGCACACTTAGTATTTCTATTTCAGCCCTTTCAAATATAACAGTCACTTAAACATCATTGTTTTTAACAGTATTATCATTCTTTTATATTATCTTCGGTGTAAGACTGTTAACTTCTTAGAATATTAGTTTACAATAAAATGTTAACTTTACAAAATTTTGTAAGTTCTAAACTTTAAACTATTGTATGTTCATACTTATGTCATTAAATGATGTTAACAAACATGCCCTAAAAAGTAAATTTCACCTGCCCAAATGTGAGGGGAAATGGTTTTCCCTGAAAAAAAATTACTTATTATTATTGAATAAAACTGAAATTTGTATACACATTTAAAACTTCAGTAAAAAATTACCTGGCATTCAAAAGATATAACTGTTTAAAGTTTGCAAACCTCAAAACGAGAGGGCTGTAAATTTAAATGATTTCTAAGCAAAATATTACTTTTCAATAAAATTTTAGAACCTTAAAGATGTTTCCACCTAGTTTAGGATGTTAGAAACTATAATTTGAAAAACAGATTCCCCTCACAACTGGGTGATTTTTACTTACTTTTTTGGGTATTTTTGGTTCCCAGGCTCGCAAGTTTTGGGAAAACATCTTTATATGAACACACAAAAGATTGGAGTTTTACTCAACTCAAATATGTCAAATAACTAAATAGTCAAATACTTTTTTTAGAGTGAAACGGTTTCTATAGCAACCACTTTGAGGACAAATAACATCATTTAATTCAAAAAAGTCAATACAGTAGAGGTTAGAAGAAAACTAAAAAATTTCTTTTTAAAATTATGATTTTGTTCAGATTTTTTGGCATTATAGACCACTGAGTAGAGACAGATTTTTTGGCCAACTGTTGTGCAGATTTTTTGGCCAACATAGACCACTGTGCAATGTAGAGACAACGTTAGCAGAATACAAATTTATAAAATAATTTATGTTTTTTTAACCAAAATAACTTTATGAAAAAGTTGGAGAAAAAAGTTGGTCATTGAGTATTTTAATCTATAATGTCATGACAACAGGTATGTTGTCTGGACAACAAGCTGTAGAAGAATCTAAGCAGGAAATCACTTTAGATACAGAAGCTGGAGTGATAGGGATGTCAAGCAATGGATCAATCTGTCAGCCGACTTTTCATAATGTTAACATTATGAAACATTATGAAACATTATGAAAATGTTAGCTTAGCATTATGAAACATTATGAAACATTATGAAAATGTTAGCTTAGCATTATAAAACATTATGAAACATTATGAAAATGTTAGCTTAGCATTATGAAACATTATGAAAATGTTAGCTTAGCATTATGAAACATTATGAAACATTATGAAAATGTTAGCTTAGCATTAACAATATTAAGAGTCTTGAAAATGTTCATGTAGAGCAAATATTTTTCACATAGTGCATAAATTGTTCATATTATAAACTTCACAATGTGGAAAAAGCAGCAAATGAAAGAAACTTAAAAACCGTACTTTGTACCTGCTGCATGCACAGCTGCATCATTAACACACATTCCTCCTGATGAAGTTTCAGAAGTCACAAAGCTGATAGATTTCTCATCATTTGAAAACATATACACTGCAAGGGGTTTATCTCTGTTAAAAAAAAAATGAAAAAAAGAAAAAAAAAAAAAAAAGGGAAATAAAAAAAGTGCGATAGAACCTAAAAAATCAAACCTTTTATTAATAAAGTCAACAGCTTCTTGCAAAGAAGACACAGCTATAATAGGAAGCAAAGGTCCAAATATTTCTTCTTTCATAATGAGGTCGTTAGGTGTAACATTCGTCAGTATAGTAGGAGCAATATATAAATCATCTTCATCAATCTCTCCACCATAGACAACTTTCGATTTATCAATCAACTTGGTGATTCTTCTGTAAATTAATTAGTAACAAAACTTAAAACCTTTGAACCAAGAAAAACCTAATAACTAATACACAACATTTACCAACATTAATAAATTTTTTAAATTCAATAGTTTAGGACCACCATATTCCTGGCCATAAAATGCTACAATACAATAATCAATACTAAATTGAAATATGCTTATAGAAAAAATTCCAAAAAGTATCAATAAACATTATTTATAAACCCACGTACTGGAATGCGCACATAAGAAATAACTTGTGATGGGTTGTTCTTTAAGAAAGTTCCCTATCAACATTACATTGATAACATTTTGATATTATATTATAATTAATTTTACATCATTTGCAGTCTATACTAAATAATAACTGCAAAAATTTAGGCTGAAAATACACATGGGTTGTTTAGATATTGCAAATTAAAATATTGCTGATTCAGCATTTTTGTGGTTATCTAAAGTTTGGAACCCAAATAGATTTTTGTTTAAGGAATTCAAAAAAAACTTTTAGGACTTGATAGTCTCAAGAAATGTTTATCTAACTTTTTTCAAAATTATTAACTTAAAAATTATTGATTTTTGGAGCTTAAATAGAGATTGTCACCCAAAATGGCTGGCAAAAATATTGTTTGTTTATCATTAATTTATCTTAGGCCTACTGAACAAAAATAACATTCATGTATTGTCTTTCTAATGTTTGATCAAAGTAAGCACTCAAAAATAATGTCTTTTCAGAACTTCGAAAAACTTAAATTTTGTAACGAAGAAGATTTTTTAATTGAAACTTATATATAGTGTTATTTAATAACTAGTATAGACCATATATGCATAGTCATAGACATATGAAGGGGGAAAGGGGTGGGTAACCCCCCCCTCCTTTTCAGATTTTTTTATTAGGTAAAAATGAATTAATAGTGATAAACTATTTCTAAAATAGAGTTTAGAAACATAATGAAAAAAATATTTTTGAGCTTTTAAATTGTTTTACTTGTACTTCAAACTTGGTAAATTGTTTTGTTGCATTTGAATTCAACGCTTTAGAATAATATCAAAACACCATAGTGGAATAAACACTATGTTGTTTTGAAAGTTTAAGTTAATATTGTCTTTGAAAATCATATAGCAAACACCTCTATAGAATTGCTTGGGATTTTACCAATCAAATTGAAAAGTGTTCCAAAACACTGTAAAAAAACCCTCTTTCCCCAGAAAAACCCAGTTAGTAATTAATTTTATCAAATTTAGGAGTTTTCAAGAACTATGCCAGGAAAGTAAGATTTTGTTAGTGTTAAGAAAAACCAACATATTTAAAAAAGTTGCCAATCAATAAATCACAAAACCACTAAAATACTATTTTTTACCAAAATACAAAACTTAATTATTTGTTCTCTTGAGAATGCAGAATGCTGCACTGATGTAAGCTATGTCCTAGTATTCAAGAATTAAAAAGTTGTTTAGTGCATGAGTTTATAGACCATGAGCTAGAAGAAGATGTAGTATTCAAAAAATGGCAGAGTACTGATTGTACAACACTACTGTTACAATCATTGTCACTAGATGAGTTTAAAGATTTCATATGTGATAACATTGACAGCTTTAACACACATTCATTTATAGCAAAAATACAAAATAGATTCTTGATTAACTGTGAAAAAAATATAAACCAAAATGAATGATTAATTTTAGGAGACTTTACTGAAAATTATCAATTTGTTGTCCATGAAGTTCAAAGTTATTACGTTCACTTTTCATAAAAATTAGCTCTTGTGATTGTCATAAAAAATTGTTGTGACCTAACAATAATGCTCATTAATGAAAGGGGTAAAAAAAAATCAAAAATAATCAAGATGTTACAAAGTTTTAATAATATTTGCTGAAATATCAAATATATAAAGTATCTTTATCAAGTCATAAAAAAAATACATTTAATTCAAAAATCAAATTTCTCATTTAATACCATAATAGCTGTTGAAGCAATTACATGCTTTTACACAGCAGAGGTAAACTTTACACTTTATTCAGAGAAATTGTTGTATAACCAGTCTTGCAACATCTGCAAAGATTTTGCTTTTCAGTGAAGACTGAGATTAACATACTCTTTTTGTAAAGCCAAAATATATGGCATTTGTTTTGAGTTATTTTCAAAAGATCAAACTGGAACAAATTTATAGAAAAAAAAATTTAAACGGTAAAACAGTTCCTAGCGCAAGGATGTACCATAATTTTATTCCAATAAGTTTAAATACAGTAAGTTAAAAAACCAAGTGATGATATACAGACTGAAGTATTTGATATTACTCCAAAAAACAAAAATAAGAGATTTGATTAAATATTAGGAAAATGTATATATATGCACAAGTCTCCTAAAAAGGCTTGATATGTATATATATTATATATATATATATATATATATATATATTTTATATATATATAATATATATATTTTATATATAAATTTTAGATATATATATATTTTGTATATATACTTTACATATATATATTTTGTATATATATTTTACATATATATATTTTGTATATATATTTTGTATATATTATATATATATATATATATTTTGTATATATTATATATTTACATTTTGTATATATTACATATATATATTTTGTATATATTATATATATATATATTTTGTATATATTATATATATATATATTTTGTATATACTATATAAATATATATTTTGTATATATTATATATATATATTTTGTAAATATTATATATATATATATTTTGTATATATTATATATATATATATATATATTTTGTATATATTATATATATATATATATATTTTGTATATATTATATATATATATATTTTGTATATATTATATATATATATATATTTTGTATATATTTTATATATATATATATATATATATATATATATATATATATATATATATATATATATATATATATATATATATATATATATATATATATATACTTACACATATATATATATATATATATATATATATATATATATATATATATATATATATATATATATATACTTACACATATATATATATATATATATATATATATATATATATATATATATATATATATAATATATACAAAATATAAATGTATATAATAATATCATCAGGAAGCCTGATGATCCTACTGATGGTGAAATAATCTGTACAAGAAAATAAAAATTAGACACAGTAGCGTGCAAAAGTTTAGAATTACCTACTTTTTTTCAGTTTTTAATGCATAACTTTTCACAAACTTTTTCAAATAATCTGAAATTTTTACCAAATTTATTCTATATTATTACAATTCAAAATCCATTTCAATTAGTTTTAATTGTTTTTTTGAAAATGCTTCTGTGCAAAAATTTAGAAACAGCTGAATTTAGATTCAATAAAGCTGAAATATTTACTAAAACTTTATAATATACAATTTTTTAATAAAATAGTTTCAATAAAAAAGTTAGTATTTGGTGGCATATCCATTTGCCTTCAAAACAGCATCACAGCGACGAGGCATCGAATCAACTAAATTAACGAGAACATCCTGAGGAATATTATACCAACATTTTTTAATCAAAGCAAATAAATTGTCTTTGTTGGTTGGTTTTTTACCAATTAATAGCCTGTCAATGTACTCCCAATGATGCTAAATTGAGATCTGGGCTCTGTGAAGGCCATTCAAAAACATTGACCTTTTTTGATTGAAATTATCTTCTTGAAAGATCCAATTGCGATTCATTTCCTTTGCATGGGGCAGCATAATGTTCTTCATTATGTCTAATTAAACTCTCTGGTCTATAATACTTTCTATGCAATAAATGGGACCCAGGTTGTCACAACAAAAACACCTCCAAACCATAACATTTCCTCTTCCATGTTTAACAGTAGGTAACTGATATTTTGGATTGAATCTGTCTCCTATTGGATGTCAGACATATCTAATTCTGTCATTACTGAATAGCATAAGCTTTGATTCATCGGAGAAAAGGACTTTTGACCATTCATTAACTGTCCAACTGAGATGATCTCTCGCAAATTTTATTCTGATTCTTAATTTTCTTGCAGATATAAGAGGTTTCTTAACTGGACAATGACCATACAGATTATTTTGTTGTAACTGATGTTTAGTTGTATTAACGCTACAGTTTGTGCCTTGAAACTGATGCATAATTGAATTAAGTTCGACAACAGTCATGCGAGGATTATTCTTGCAGTACCTTACTAATAATTTATCAGCCTTTTTAGTTGTAATTTTAGGTCTTCCAGAGCAAGGCTTGCTTTCAATAGTTTTGCGCTGACGAAACCTTTTCATAATGTGACATATTCCTGGTTTAGAAACATTGTAAAGTTCAGAAATATTTTTGTAAGTCATTTTTTTCCCCACAGCTTTTATAAATCTGAAACTTCCTTAGCCTTTCCCATGCTTTTAAAATATCACTAAGTAATTGAATTATAAAACTTCACAAATAACTTCTTAAATAGTTATACTTCATTGCTTTTAAAATATCTCAAGTTAATTTAAATAATAAACTTCAGAAAAAAATTGACTTTTTATAATGCTTTTGTTTACAAAAACCTAATATAAGTGCTTGTTATTATACAGTTTCTAAACTTTTGCACGGAAGCCTTTTCAAAAAACAATAAAAATGAATTGACCAGTGAGTTTTAAAATTTTTGTGAAATGGACTAGTTAAAAACTGAAAAAAAGTTGGTGTTTCTAAACTTTTGCACGCTACTGTAAATGTTTTTACTAATTTTTTTATTGCTCTGTTCTTTAAGAATATTGAGCACTCTATTTGTAGAATACACTAACATAATTTAAATATATATATATATATATATATATATATATATATATATATATATATATATATTTATATATATATATATATATATATACATACATACATACATATATATATATATATATATATATATATATATATATATATATATATGTATATGAAAATTTAAAAAAACATATAAATATGATAAAAATAGTATAAAAAAAGTATAAAAAAACAACAGAACGGTATATAT